CTTCTTCTCTCTCTCTCTCTCTCTCTCTTTTTCTTTATATATATATATATATATATATATTTAAATATATATATATAAATATATATTTATTTATAAATTTTCCTTTTTTCCTCTTTTTCTTACGACGAAATTTTACTTCTACTTTTTCGATATTTTTTCGATTCAACAATAATAACAATAATAAATTCGATCGAACGAATTTAGCCAAGATTGCATCAAGATGCACGCTCCTCTCTCTCTAATGTCTCGTTCCCCGTGCGTACGTATATACGTGAAGTATTTTCTTCTGTTTCCATATCGATGAACGTTGCGGCAGAACGAACGCCGGATGAAAGACAAGATAGTGAGACGCGATAGCGTGAGAACATCTCACTACCCATGTCTTTCAGACGGAATCCGCCCGAAGGAGGACGCGTCCGAAGATTCAACCACCATAAACACCGAGCCACCTCTCGATCGGAGATGGAACACCTACTACTCCGCGATCGTTGCGTTACATTTCTTTGCAGTAGTAGTCCCAAGTGTCGAGTCCGAATGGATCGCGAGGGAATGCTAGGCGCGAGGGGGACGCGTCTCGCCTTGTTTTCTCCCCACGCTCCTCCTCCTCCTCCTCCTCCTACTTTCAATACATACATATACACGTTTAAACGTGAGTAATTCTTTACATACGTATTCTTTGATTAAACAACGTCGACGATCGGGTTACGCTTCGTTTGAACGCGTTTAAAATGAGAAAACTCGTTAAACTATGCTGTCCCTAGGTGGAATTTTAAATAGTAGAAAAAGCGGAGAGGCGAGAAGAAAAGAGAAAAGGATCGATTCCGTAAAGTTAAGTTTCGTTCGACCAACGCATGCCTATTTTTCCTAAAAAAAAGAAAAGGAAAAAAATATATATATATATAACGATAAGCGACAAATCTCGCAAAAATCCGCGAATAAAACGGGAATAAAATTTGGACGATGATGAACGTTAGGAATTCGTTCGACGTCGCGATTCCTTCCTTTTTCTCTCTTTCTCTTCTTCTCTTCTTCTTCTTCATCATCTTCTTCTTTTTTTCCTTCTTCTTCTTCTTCTTCTTTTTGTTTGATCCAGAAACGATGAATTAAACTCTATATAGTGGATTGTTATGGGCAAAGAACATAACGATAACGGGGATGGAGGAATAAGGTAAATTTATGGTATGGTAAAAAAAGAAAAAGTCGGAAAAATGAAAGAAAAAAGCAAAATGGAGAGAAGAAAAAAAAAAATAATGGAAACTTACGGAGATGCCAGAGCTAAGGAAATCGACGGACCTACAGAGGGTTTCTATTACGGGACACAGTTTGACCTCGATCGTGGTGTTGTCGAGAACTCCCTTCTTCGTTAACGTTAACACCGCTGTCTGGGCTGTCATTCGTACCTGGGCCAACAACCAGAAAGAGAAAAAAAAAGGAATTCTTCAATGGATTTTATAACTCGTTGCCGCGTTCGTTTGGTACGGTAACTTGGTGGAAAAAGGAGCAGAAAAGGAGAGAGAAAAAAAAAAAAACACGATTCTCGAAAAAGAGGGGGAATGAATATCCGGGCTGTCGAAGGAGATTTTAAGAGAGAAAAAATAGTTATCGATAAATGCAATGCGGTTCGATAATAAGCGGATACAACAGAGACATGGACCATGGAAATATTCACCTGGTTATCTTGATCCTGTAGATATTTGATAATGATACCGAGCAAATGATCGTGAACGACATTGTCGAATAGATGAGGAGATTCTTGGCAGATCGTCGCCACATGAGGAATATGCTCCACCAGGTCCAACCGAACTTGCGTGTCTGAAATTAAAAAGAATGGTTTTTTTTTGAATCGTTCGAATTCCTTTAAAAAAAAAAAATTTCTCATCTTTTTTTCTTCTTCTTCTTCTTTCTTTCGTTTTTTTTTTTTCGTTCACATCGTTCCGACAAAGATCCCTTCCTCCTTATTATCAAATAAACAGTTATAGATGATTAAAGATCGTTAATTTGCTCGCGAAACACCGAACTTTTTGATCCTTTTTCTTCTTTCATCATCCTAACGAGGAAAAAAAATTCAAGAATTCACGACTTACGGTACCCAAGCTACCGTGAATGTAAATTTATTTTAATCGGCACCGATACGATCGAATAGGCGAGATATCAGGCCAAAAATTTCCCTCGAATAAATTAATTAATCGTGGAATATTCACGGATCGAGAATTTCTTCCCGCGTCGATCTAACATTTGATCCTAATTCCTAATTGATAAAAATTGCAAAAGACAAAAGAAAAGAAAAAACAAAAGAGAGAAAAAAAAAAAGAGAAGAAAAAAAAGAAGAAGAAAAAGGAGGAGAAGAAATAAAAGAAGGGCCAGTTTGATCGATTGTTTCCGAGGCAAGAGAGGAAAGAGAAGTTGGGACATTTTAAGAAGGAATCCGATCGTTTCTTTGCGACTCACGATCGGCCGTTAACCGGCCATCATTCGTGCGTCGAAAGCGAAAAAAACAGTAGGGAAAGGCAAGGGACCATTGTTCGGAACCATTTTCTCGACCTTGGACATTTTTATTTCCCCGACCAAGCGTTTTCGTGGAAATATCTGAAGGAGGAAGAAAGGCGACGCCGCGAGAGGGCACCACACCCCCGTTGATCAGTTGCACCTTTGCAACCACGTAAAGAAAATCGAGAATCTCCCGGCTGGTCATTAGGGGAATGACCACGCGAGTTCTCCTTCCGCTTAGCACACTGGACAGGTGTAATAATGGTGGTGGGAATTATATCGCTCGTTAATTTACTAGAGAATTCTTGGAGATCGAGATCGCGTTTCATTACAATGGAATGGAATTTCGGGAGAAAAATTTATATGCATATATATTATAATATTTTAACACGTGAAAAAAAAAAAAAAACGAATCAACCGATAAGATTAAATTTAATATAACAAGATACGAGTATAAAAGAGAAAATTCACATACCATCGTACTTTTTTCCTAAATATCAATCTTCATCATCGAACATTTGGAAAAAAACTTTTAGGCATATTATTCGTATTCCAATACGAATAATAACGTTTCCTTCGATTTGATGGATAACGCGAACGGAACAATACTTGATAATCAAACAAAATTAAATTGACGAATTCTTGTAAAAAAAATTCTATAAACACCGCGAAAAAAAAGGAAACGGAAAATTAACAAATTCAACTTTCACTTTCTACTCTCAGTTATAGTAAAACTATATAGCACAACTTAATGGAGATAGCCGAAAAACGCGGGAAAAATTGTTCCCCGATAAAATAAGAATACGAACGACTCGGAAGAAAGGACGTTACAAAGCGACGAGCGTGGGTGCAACTGAGGGTCGTTCGTCGCGGGAAACGCACCTTCCCGATTTGTCCAACTTTTCCACCTAGGAGTGGGGGGGGATGTGAAGGGTAGCTGTTGCCGCCCCACCAGTTGGCGGCAAGGCCCAACTAGGAAGCGAGAAAGAGAGAGGGTAGGGGGATTCGTTCGTTTTCGGTCGTTTTCGTGAGGCCCACGGCCCGAGCACGTGCTCGTTTTTTCCGCTCTCCCCTCTCCCCGTTTCCCACCGATTTCTACGATCGTTCATGTTGGCCGACGAAACGCGAACAACACCCTCCATTCCCCTCCCCTTTCCGCACGCTAAGCAACCAACCCTAGTCCATTAATCACGCGCTGGGTCTTATCTTCACCGTTCCCCGCCTACTCCATCCTTGCGCCTTCTGTCCGGGACACGAGATCCCGCCAAAAATATCCCGCCGCGTTCCTACAGGATTAGGCGTCCACCGATTATTTACCCTCCGCCATCTCGAACCGTCGTCGTCTTTTCCTTCGATCCTCCTCGCCCTCTCCTCTTTCGTCGTTCCTAATATACCTGTATATTTTTTTTCTTTTTTTTTTCCCCCCCTCTCACCAAATCGAATAGGAATTCGGAAAGAAGGAGAAGAATTAATTCGAACGTGATTCGAACAATTATAAGGACGATGAAATGAAATTTACGATGCTCGACGAAAAAAGAAAATCGCACTCTATATACTTAGTCTTCTCTTCCGTGAAAATTAACCTAGTTATACGATGATTGCGATCGATCGATGATATATATCGGATTGATAAACACATCAATCGAATTCTTTTCATTTTTGAGGAAGAGAGAAAGAAAAGAGCTTTATCTAATTTGAAGGAAATGTCGTTGTTATCGAAGTCGTTTTTTTTTTTTTAAATGACGAAACATATTATTCCTCGAAATATATAAATTATAAAATTTATCCTCGAATCATCGATGATTCGTGTTACAACAAAAGAGAGGAGGAGTAGGAGAGCGAATCGTAGGAAGAAAAATGAACAGAGAGAGAGAGAAAAGAAATATTCGTGAAGCTTCTACATATTTCCATTCTATATATGGCGAAGAATTGGGAGATGCATTCTGGCTCAGGATCTGATCGAAAGAAAAAAGGGACGCGTGTGTTCGCGATCCCCCTTCGATACTTCCGTGCCGCTCTAGGAAGCGACTCGTCCAAAAATACGTGAACGCGTGTGTCGCGTGCCCCTGAATCCCGAAATCTTGCTTCTTCCTCGAGCCAACCCAACCCTCGTCTACTTTTCCTCTTTTGCCGCGCGTCGTCGCCTCCCTCTTTCCACGCTTCGATCGGTTCACGGAAAAACACCGGCACGTGTTACGGCCAACATGTTCCTCCGCTCCCTAAAAATAGTCCGCTCGGTATGTAACACTCCACGGATCATGCGTCACAATGCATCTTTTTTTCCACGGTTGCATCTCTCTTCGGGAAACGTGTTCGATGGCACGTAAGACGAATGCCGCGCGGCACCATATTCGATCCAATCTTGGCAAAACGAACATTTCTTCTATCCATACTTTCGAATTACATCGATAATCGAGTAAGACGAATGTCACATGGAAAGAATGGATTCCGATATTTCCAAGTATCGGAAATCTTGGATTCGATGAGAAAATATAGATAAGTTAAATCGATCGACTCGACCATTCTTTCTCTGAAAAATTCTCCGTTCTTACAAAATTAGCATTCGACTTTTCCTAATTCGAATGATTAATCTTTAATGATTTTAAAAATAAATATGTGTTGAAAGGAACATTTTTGTTACTCTCTACCTATATATATATAGTAAATACGTACGATTTGGTTTCATAATTAGAGATAAAAAATTAAAATACAAATGTAAGAATTATTAATACTGATATACTTAGTTAAAAATAGTTATTACTATTCTTACTCATATTTCGAAACTTGTACATCTTAAATTTTTCGCGCCTTTCTTGATACTGAAACGACCTTTCACAAAACTTCATGATCACTCTCAAAATATTTCGACTATATTTTTTGTTTAACAGAAACGTTAACACTCGATTTTTATCCTCAACTTTCCCTTTGTAGATAAATTGGTTGAAAAATATAAATAATTATATTTCTATTCGCTATAAAACTATTATTTTGTCGTAACTCTTCGAAATATAAGAGGTCGATACGATCGATCCATATGGATTAAATTGGATACAGGGGCAATTTTCGCCAAACACATATTATCGTCGAATATCCGTTATTCGAATCGTGTTCCGTTCCATTCGTTTTAACCGTTTAACCGTAAACATCTAAATAGGATCGACGGATTTGCAATTGTTCTACTTTGTCGGTGCGTGTTTGTAAGAGAGCGCCGCTGTCACACGACATAAGATATAAAAGTGGAGAGACGCGCGTTTGTTTCACGTGACGGTGGAGTCCCGCAAAGATCGACGCGGCGGTCTTAAAGTGTTTTCGAAGGTTGGAGAAAAGAAAGGAGCCATCACTGGGATGAAAACGCAGTGGCGCGTTATTTTCCACGTTTCCCCGAACCGGTCCAGGTAAAAAGAAAACGCTTTTCGCAGAAGGATCGTTGTCGACCCGTACTAGTGGGTAGCTGTTGCTTTTTCAAAAGTGCCTCCTTTCTCTCTCTCTCTTCTCTCTTCTTCTTCCTCATCTTCTTCTTCTTTCTGTATTTCGGGTTTCGTTAGGGTGACGTTTCACAAGTAGATACTCATCGACGGAATGTCACGGATGACCTTTGAACATGCTGCTTCTTCTTCGATTCTACGAAACCTCGGCCTCGGCCAAAAATATTTCCGATCGTTTTCGATCTTCGAAGAAACGGAATAGAAGGGGCTATTGACGCGTTGCATCGCATTGTTTCTCCAACTACCTGACCAACCAAGTGTCATTTATTCCTTTCGTTAAAATAATTTTAACGATATAGATGTAAGTGTAAGATCGAAGATAAAATCGCTTTGTGTTTTATTTTTTTGGAAATCAAGTGTATCCGATACTTGACGAAATAAAATGTATAACGCGAAATAAAGAAAAAAATCGCGTCGAAGAATAGTTAAAAAAAAATTTGATGCATTTGTAATGAAATGAGAAAAAAATATAATGGTTGTAATGGAATGTATTAAAAAACAATGTGAATGTGAATACTTTTATATTTTCACGGCGGAATGTTTACGATAATTTAAAAGAAGAAGAATCCCCTGTATCGATCCGCCTGTTTCGTTTCAAGGAAAATGAATCGTAGCAAAAGAAAAAGGAAACTATAGCTCGTATAAATAAGTCGCATAGGGAAATCAAAGAAACGAGAAACTTCCGGCAAGGCGCGTGCTACACCGGAAGCGGAGACAATCTTGTCGTCACCTAATACGGAGCAACAGCCTCGTCGTCTGCTACCCCCAACTGGCTTCTCCGTCATTTACCCCACTGGAAACGCGGAACACGTTTCTGTCTTCTCTCAAAAACGCGTCCCGGCCCTTCTATTTTTAAACTTCTCCCAATATCCCACCCACGATTTTCGTTCCATGTTTTTCGTTCGAGGAAACGGAGCCAAGC